AGAAAACAAAGAACCATAATGTATTAGGGTTGTGTTCCCCTCGCTCCCGCGGTAGATAACGAGCTTCAACATTTGTGTCAAGGTATTGCATTTTCGATGGTAAGCGATTAGGATAAAAGTGGGTTCTTAGGGGGCAAAATATTTTGGGGGACCGGTTCATGGCGATATTGCAGATGACCTACAGGTAGCTCTCGTATAACCAAGAATTTTGGAAAAATGAATGACCGGTGCTCATCAGGGGGAAGGGGACCCCAAAAGAAGTAAGAACGGGAGGTGTTGTCGGGAGACCCACACGCAGGTTGTCCAAGACATAGGGTACCTGCAGGTCCAGTCCCACAATTTGCAAGAGACAACTTTGTCAATTTTTTATGCTAAGAGGAATTCGCTGAAAAGTATAAAAATTTGAGGATCTATAGATTAGCTTGCGATCTTTCCAGATACATTATCAGAATTTTTCAAAAAATCACTAAAAACGTGAATTTTCAATTTTTGTCAATCAGCCATATGTCAACCAACGAAAAAAGTACCCCAACTTCAGTGAATTTTGGCGCTTATAAAAATGCATGAAAAAATTGAAAATTGGAGTGCTCGTAGATCTTGTTGTGACATTTACAGGAAAATATAGTAAATAGATTAAAAAAAATCATCTCAACCGCAAAATAAATTGCGACCACAATATGACCAATATTTCATTTTTGTCATTCAGCCTCCACCCCCCTTCTCTCTCTCTCTCTCTCTCTCTCTCTCTCTCTCTCTCTCTCTCTCTCTCTCGTGTGTATCCACGTTCGCTTCGTATCGACGTGATATTGCAATCAAAACAAAAACTCAGAGAATGATATAATCTATTTTTTATTTAAATTCAAAATGACCCTGGTAGTCCATGCCGTAAACGGTGAGTGTTGGTCCTTGGTCTTCGCCCGGTGGTTTTGGGGGACAATTCGATGAGGGACCTAGCTAACGCGTCAAACACTCCGCCTGGGGAGTACGGTCGCAAGGCTGAAACTCAAAGGAATTGACGGGGGTCTGCACAAGCGGTGGAGCATGTGGTTTAATTCGATACAACGCGCAAAATTTTGGCTTTCTTAGGGTTATGTTCCCCGTGCCCACGTGGTCGACAATTAGGAACTATACTCATATTTTTTAAGCAATGCTTCCTAAGCATGAACAAAGCACCAGTGGGGCCCAACCCTTTGAACTCGTTATGTTCGTGTTGATTTAGACAGGGTATGGCCTAACCCTTTGAGCGAGCCCATGGTAGTTTTTAATCTCGTCGCCAAAACTAGCGATGTCACCTAAAAAGTAGTTGGTCGTTGGGCCTTGTCCATA